TCAAAGCGCTATTTAAAGCGCCCTTCTTTCTCCGCGCTCGCTGTTGTCGCTCTGTTGATGACGTCAGCGATGCGGTTTAATCGAGCGCGGTTTTGTCGTGCCACGGTATTTCAATTGAAGAGGTTTTTTATTTAAGATTCAAAATATTTTGTTGCTACTGACCCTGTTTTAAACTCACTGAAATCTTGAAAACCTTATGAGGTTTTTATTTGTTTTTAAATAAATAACGGGTACCCAATACCTAAAAAATCTGATGAAGCTTCGCCCTGCAATAAAGTAGTCCTCAATTTACAATTACAATGGAATCCAATATTTTTGTGGTTAAATGAGATGTTTGTTAAGTGATTTTTGCCCCATTTTATGACTTTCCTTGCTACAGATTGTTAAGTGAATCCCTCCAGTTGCTAAGTTAGTAACAAGTTTGTTAAGTGAATCTGGCTTCCCCACTGATTTTTGTTGTTGTTGTCAGAAGGTCCCAAAAGCTGATCACATGACCCTGGGACACTGCAACTGTCATAAATATGAATCAGTTGCCAAGCATCTGAATTTTGATCAGATGACCAAGTTGTAAGTGAAAAAAGGATCAGAAGCTACTTTTTTCAGTGGTGTGTCACTTTGGTCACTAAATGAACTGTTGTATGTCGAAGACTACGTGTAATTCTTTTCTGCTGCTTTTTCCAGTTATAGTAAGTGTCCCAGATATATGAGAGTCCAGTAGTGGGTTCCTACTGGTTAGGACCGGTTCAGCTGAACCGGTAGTGGTTTGATGGCCTCGGTCGCTGGAACCGGCAGCAACGCCCCCAAACTGGTTCTCCCGGTGCCACTATCTTGGTTTTTGGTTCTGTGCATGCGCAGAACAATTTTTATTGCACTGTGCATGCGCGTGTGGGGCATGGCCATGAGCGAACCGGCAGTAGTGGCTGCCGGAACCCACCCCTGTAAGAGTCCCAAGGCAGTAAGAGTCTGCCTTAAGTACCAGTTTTTTTTTAAAAGGCCACAGCAGTCCTTAAGTTCTTTTATTTTCTTGCAGGTGAGGCCCGGAGCAAGTTGAAATGGGCAGATGGCAAAATAATTAAAAACGAAGTGGACCTACAGGTACCTAGTTGGATCTACTATTTTGGATCATCTACTTGATATGCAAAAATATATACAAGAGGATTGACTAAAAATGAAGGATATGCATTTAAAAGTCCCTTCTATTTCCCAATGGGAGCTGCTCTTGCAGATCATTTTGGTTGTCCTTTTGCCCGCCATTTCTGCGGTCCAGTTCCAAATGGCTCAAGGCCTGGTAGTGGGGCCACGGCTCAGGAGTCGGGGACCCCTGTTCTTGTGTCAGAAGGACCCTTCCTTGATTCAACTGAAAATAGGAGTTTTATCTGTTGGCTGAAAAAATGAAGTTTAACTTGCTATAAGCGATCCAGTACCTTTCCCTATATTCTAACCTCGTGTCTGTCTTTCTCATGCAGGTTCTAAACTTATTAGGCCCAAAGACAGAAGCTGACCTGGAAAAGAAATCCAAGGTAGTTTAGCTGTCTGTTTCCTCCCCTTAGCACACATTGATTGACGTGCTTACATTTGTGATCCATGTACATTTGCCACAGATGGTCATTCCTAGGGAGGCTGGAACAGTTGTTAGGGAGGGAGGATATGATGCTCTCTGACCTATATTCTTTATTGAGGTATACCGTTCAGGGGTGGGATTCAGCTGGTTCGGGCCGGTTCAGGCAAACTGGTAGCTCCGATGATCAGCTGGGAGCGAACCAGTTCACTCCGATGATCAGGTGCCCCCCCCCACGCCCCTGTGCTTTACTTACCTATATCCTCTTAGCTGATTCGTGCGGCAGAGCAGATTGTTGCGCCTCAGTTGTGTTACTCCCCAGAAGTAACGTGGAACGTAAGTTTTGTTAAAACTGCGCACGCGATCACCGAACCGGTTGTTAAACTAGTTGGATCACACCACTGGGTATACTTATTATTTAGGTATGAATAAATATGCCTAATTAATGTTAATATTAATTTATCATTTAGGCCACCTAATCCAAAGACTCGAGGCAGCATACGGTATCAGAATTTCTATAAAACCACACAGGCAAATTCAGCACATGGGAGGGAAAAATATACATAGCTACCAAGTCATCCATCCTCTACCAGTTGAGATCACAAATCGCCCTGGCCTTGGGCATATTTGAAAAGCTGGGCTTTTAGAGCTTCTCCAAAAGTTAGTAATGTTCTGGGGCCAGGCAATCCTGTGGAGGCATATACATATATGCTTTCATCATGCCCTTCTTAAAAGTGCTTAGGGGGGGATCTAAAGGGCCAGTGAAACGTCTTTCTGATAAAACTGACTACTTAAAAAGCCTTTGGTTGCTGGTGCCTGTCAGAATGCCATCCTCCCTTAGTTGGAAGTGTAGCTGCCTTTCCCTTCCCCTGTTTGTTTCCTTGCCAGTAGGCAGGAAAGTTTTCCCAGCATCCTCTGTTCTGACCTAGGCTTCCCCAAAAAGCACGAGGCAGAGTCCCGGTCCTGACAAAACCCCTTTTATTAAACGAATGTGAATTCCTCTCATTCACATTCAGCAAGGCCTGGCGAACAGTCTTTCAAAGGAACATTCGTGACTACAGACCTTATCTGTCTTGGATTGATGGACAGATTTTCACACTCCTGAAACGAATCTAATGACCGAACGAACAAATCGTTCCTCTTTTATTCCTTCCACTTATGACTTTACTTCTCTAAGTCTACCCTGATTTCTGAGTTGTTCTGGCAGCTCTGTGCATGCGCACACTGGGAACAGGCTCTAGCTGTTCCTCTGCCTCACTGCTGTCTAGCTCCGTAGGCACCTGATTACTGCCAGACAGCCTTTGCCCAGTCTCTGCCTCTAACACAGAGCCCTTGTCCGAGCCTTCCCCAGCCTCCAGGACTAGCCTATATTCCTCCCCAACCTCCTCACTGTCCAACTCTGCTGTCAGCTTTGTTGGCCACTGGCAAACCACAACATCCTCTCCTTATCCCAGGAGAAAACTTTAGCTGCTAGATTTCTGCCTATAGTGGTCCTGTTCGGCGCTTGTCTTCTGCTAACTACTGAGGCCAGACTGGATGACACCCAGTGTTTATTGTTTGTCTTGTCAGACCCCGAAGGCCCGTAATACTGAGCCAGAGCAGGGGAAATCAATGGTGGTGGAAAATGGTAAGGCCTTTTTTGAACGGGTGCTTTGCTTTGTAAGTGTCTGGCTGTAAACTGCAATTAAGTTCTGTACTGCTCTGTATCCATGATGGCCTCTCTCTGGCCCTTGTAGCCACAGGAATTTTTCAGCCTTTCAACATCCACTTGCCCTCTCAGTAAAGGACAGAAAGAATTAACACAGTAGGCATCTACAGTGCTTGCTTTTTTTTAAAAAAAAAAACTACTTTGGAAAATTATTTCTGCCAGCCAAGAAGTCTTCAGCTTCTGCTGAAATCAGGGCTGCCGTCTAGTGCACGCTTGGAGAACAATGGTCTCCCAATTAACCATTGAGAATTTCTTCCAATTTGGAGTTCTCCAGAACTATCTGGAACTCAACCTTCCAAAATTCTTAGGCATCCTATCCTAACCGAACACTGGGTGGGAATTCTGGGAGTTTTCATTCAATGTCTGTGAAGGAAACTGAGCCACAACCAACATCTGAGGCTGTGCAGCTGTGCATGATACAAAGGCTTTCTCAGGAAAAGCTGCCAGTCAGAATTATGTACATTCTTGTTATATAGGAGATTCAAGATTCAGCTGTCAGATTCGGGTTACTGTCAGAGTTCTAAGCAATATCCTCAACGAAAGAAGACTCCGAGGCTTAAGTTTCCCCAAAGTTCCATTTTATTAGCGATGTCATATTGGCACATCTGGGAAAACCCAATTCTGAAAGTTTCCAGGTTTTCCCCACCCAAAAGAAAGTTCACGCCCAGCATCCACAAGTCCATCGCATGATCCAATCAGACACTATCCAAAACTGGAGATGCCTCTCAGTCATACCATCGCAGCTGCGGGGCAAGATGTCCTTGATTCTCTGAGAAAATAATGTTATTTTGACTATATATCATCCATATTCCGTATAATCCCCTCTCTCATTTTCCCACGGTAGAAAATGTGGCAGGCCTGAAGGCCCAAATGTAAAAGATGGCTTCCAGGTCTGACATCAGCCCTTATCCTACTTCTACGAGGATTAGGAAGGGATGCAGTCCGAAATCCTGGAAAATTGCATCCAGTTTGAATAGAACCAGCTAGTTAAGACTATTGTCATGGTTTGAATAGGGCAGTGAGGGCCATTCTATTTGAGCCTGAAAAAGATTCAGCTGAATCTAAATCGAAAAGATTCAATTTAATGACTTGTATGACTTCAAAATTCCAGTCTAAAACATGGCTACATAATATCTGGTCCTCCAAACAGTGCTGATCTACTATTGGTTGCATTAAAACTGTTGGCCATGTTGGCTAGGGCTGCCACAAGCATTTGGATTCCTACAAATTGAGATTATATCCAGATTATGGCTTGTAACAATGAACAGAAAACTGGGTTTTCCGTCTCCCATCCCCACTAGAAGTTCTTTAGTTCTAGCAGCTTCTTCTTGTGATGAATGTTCTGCAATGTTTAAGATTGCTTCTTATGCTACTCTTATTCATACTAACTATATCATAATGGTAAACAGCCCTTCGTGTTACAAGTAAAATACAAGTAAGAAGAAATCCTGATTTAGATCTAGATATAGAAAAAAATATATATAGAAAGGCAATCAGGAAAGAAGATCACCATAGTGGGCGGGGGAGAATATCTCTAGTGGCCCTTACAGATGGAAATGCTTCGGAATGCCTGATATTTAATTCTCTGGCTTTTATGCCAGAGTTGCTTTGGATAATAATGAGATGTGTGGCATAATAATTTAATAAAAAAACAATATCCAAACCAATGCTCTTTAGGGGAACCACACCAAGAGACAAAATCGCTCCTGGAGCAGCTGAGAGGGGAAGCACTCAAATTCCACAAGCCAGGTAAGCTGCCTTGGAGTTCTTGCAATCTACATTTGGATAAATTACCGATCGATCAGAGAAGGCTCTGCATTTCATCCTTGATGGCCTAAATCGGGGGTCGGCAACCTTAAACATTCAAAGAACCACAACGGTCCTAACCGGAAGCCCCTTGTTCAATTCTGGAGCCGAGCGGAAGTCCAGTTCCCCTACCATAGAGTTTCCTCCTAGTGCAGCGTCCTTTTTCCTCTACCTGTCCTAACAAAAAGCCCTATCAATTGTGGAGCTGACCAGAAAACCCACCCCTTGTCATAGAGTCTCTTTCTAGCGTGCTGTGCTTCCTCTGCCCCCCCAAACCAGAAGCTCCTCTCAAAATTGTGGTGCTGACCAGTGACAGGGAGCTGCAGCAGAGGGATTAAAGAGCCACATGCAGCTCCAGAGCTGCGGGTTGCTCACCCCTAAACCTAAATGTTAGCATTTAGCACATATGATAGGCAACCAGGAGGTCACAGTCAGATTCCAGCATTTCAGTAATGGCTCAGTAGAATTGTTTCCCAACAAAGTGCATGTTCAGTCCATTTGTTGATTGGGAGATCTAAATTCTCAATGCTGATGCCTTAAAGGCATCTAATAAACCCCATTTAAATCATCCAAACCCTGATGAAACCAAGCCACTTTTCCCTGATATGGACCAATTTAAGGACTAGGACTTACAGCACTTTTATTGTTGCATACCCATTAATATACACCCCCTTTGAAACATTTTTTTTAAAAAGAGCTCTACCTGTACATTTTGCTGATGTCATAGGTTGGGCACTAAATCCCTCTGGGGGCCATAGGATGGAAACGATTGCCCAACCCATCAGATACTGATGCTATTTTGTATGCTGAGTTTACTCCTGCTGCTACTAGATCAGCAGTCACCAACGAGAAAATTTTGGTGGTCCGCAGAAAAACTATTTGCATTTTTTATATTGCACTAAATCAGGGATCCTCAAACTACAGCCCCTGGGCCGGATACGTGCAGTGAATGCTTGTGTTGCTGCAGAGAGTCTCCCGCTTTGGGGTCTTTTTGTGTGGGTCGGAGAGGGGAAGAAATTCTGACTTGGGGTCAGCTTCAGCGTCTTGGTGTGGGGCTTTGGGTGAAGGCTGGAGGGAAGTGCCGTTGGTGGCGAAGAGCCGGAAGGCCTCGTTTCAGTGGGACGGCATCATTGCCTGGAACTGGCTGACCATCTCATCCTGCTGAGCCTCCAGGCGCCGGTACCTGGCCTTGCACTCTCGCAGGTCTTCCCTCTGCTTGGAAAGCCTATGCTCATAGTCCTTAGTGAGGTGCTTCTGTTGAGTCTCCTTCTCGGTCAGATCTAATTTGAACTAGCCAGCTGTTTTGCCAACTCTTTCTCATGGTGGCTGCTTAGCTCCCAACAACTGCTTCCTAAGGAGCCCGGGCAGGGAGCCGAGGAGTGGCTGGGAAGGGAAGGGCAAGTAAAGGCCATTGAGCTGCCCCTCGATGTAACATTGAGTTGGCCACACCCATTCAGTTACATAACCACTTAACCATGCTCACCCAGATGGTCATTAGACAGATATTAGTGGGATTTAAGATTATGAATTTAGTGGTCACTGAGATCCGAAAGGTTGGTGAGCCCTGTACTAGATAGCCTCTTGTAACACAGGGCTCCATCAGGCAGGATGTGGGAAAAGCTGATTTAAGAAGCCATGATGTAATGGGCTGTGAGAATAACCTTGGGAGATGGAAGGAAGAGCCACAGCCTAGACAACACTCTGATAGGAGAAATCTGAGTCCAGAGGAGGGACGGACTGGAGAAAGTCTCAAAAGAGACCCTCCCTAGTTCTCTGGAAAGTAAAGACAAGGAAATAGGGGAGTGCTTACAGACTTGGCAAGATTTTGTTACTCTAATCTTACAATACAAGCAGTGTTGGTATTTATGGTTTTGGTTTCCTGCCAGGACTACCTTGAAAGGTTGACATTTAGTCACTGTCAACCCTTCAGCCAAGAATTTTGAGTGGATTAAATACGGACATTGGACAGGTAGTTTGGTAGAAAATTGTACCAGCTGCGTTTATTAGGGCACAGTTGCATTTATTGCAAAGAAATCCTGCATTCACTGACCATGTTTTACTCTTCTGAGTTCAAGTGTGTTCTCTGCCTTTCCAGGTGAGAACTATAAAACTGAAGGCTACATCGTTACACCTAATACCATGAATCTATTGAAGAAGCATTTAGAGATCACAGGTGGACAGGTGAGTGAGAGGCAGGCAGAGATCCTCTGGAGAGCCTGATTTTCGTACAATTATTGATCACTTAAACTACCAGTCTATTTCGTACAATCACTGATCACTTAAACTACCAGTCTAAAAATGGAAGTTTTAAAAAAGGAGCTAAATGTTTTAACATGTAAAAAGTGTTAATTCTAAGTGCTTTAAAGTAAAACGCTTAAAATCTATACGTATATAAAAATGGCAGTGTGTGTATGTATGTGTGTGTGTGTTCTCCAGCATAACTCTGGAACACCTCGAGCAATTTCAACCAAACTTGGTACACAGATGACTTACTCTCTGGAGAAAAATACTGTGGGGGGTAAGACACCCCTCGGTGTGTGTGTATATGTGTGGGTGTGTTCTGGCATGCAGGTGGCACAAAGAGCCCAGCTGTCCTTGCCGGCCAGCTAATTTTTGGGTCTCTGCCACACATGCATGGGGGGGAGCGCAGGGGGTGAAGCGCAAGCCTCCCCCCTCCCGGTAACCCATTTTTGCTCCCTGGAGGTTGCAGGGAGGCCTACTAGGTCCAAAATAGGGCACGGATGTCATGCGCACAGGGGTTGGGGTCACGCAGGGTGTGTTTGTTACACGACACTATAGATATCATTCATTTCTTTTCCTGTCTAATACAGGATTAAGAAAAATAAATACCCTGGCAACGCCGGGTTATCAGCTAGTATCAATTAAATAGCTCCATTGCAGGTGAAGAGTTATATATTAATAAGCTATATTTAACCAAACAGAAGGCAATCCTGGATTTAAGATGAATCCCTTTCCCCTAATATGATTGGACAGAGAAGTCAAAAAGGAATAAACATACTGGTGTACATCCTCAGATTGAGCTTTTGGGAGAAGGGAAGGGCAGCGCTTTTCCATGTCTCAGCAAGGGGGAATAGCAGCTGGATTGATTGTTAGGTTTGGAGAGGAAGAATGGTTGTGAAGCAGTGTTCCTTCAAATATTATGGCCCCAAACTGTGAAGATTCCCCAACTAAAGAGCCACTTTGCTGTAGTGGTTAAGAATCAGGCTAGAAACTGGGAAAATGTGAGGTCTATTCCCACCATAATCACAAAGCCAACTGCGTGACCTTTGGCCATTCACTCTTAGTTCTTGGAATGAAGGCTGGAGCAAACCACTTCCAAAAAAAGCCTTGCCAAAAAACTTTAGGGAGTTGTCCACAAAGGTGCTGGGAGTAGAAAAAAGAACGGATTGAAAGGAGCACACAAATACCTGCACACACATTTAAAATAAATTGTGAAGAGTGGTATAGAGTAATGCCAATAGTTTATTAAGGTGGGATTTGTGTAGAGATTCTGTAGTTATAAATCTTTGAATCTTTCTTGACATAATCTAAATGTGTTTGCCTAGGTCCGTACACGATTCCCTCCTGAACCCAATGGCATTCTGCACATCGGTCACGCCAAGGCTATCAATTTCAATTTTGGCTTTGCCAAGGTGAGACACTTGAGCCTCTTTCCACACTCTGAACTGCTGGTGTGTTTGGAATATTCCTCTTTTTATTGAGTTGGGAGGGTGGGATTTATCCTGGCAGACGCTCATGACCACCTCATTGATGTAATGTACCTCTCCCAGAAGTGTGAGCAAATCATAGCTCAGACATAGAAGGTAATCTTTGTTGGATGTAAATCCCAATTTATTTGTTTGGTGATTTTATTGAGGTATTGTTTTTCCAGTGGTGCTCTAATCTTGCTGTCATTTAGGAAGAAAAAGAAGTTTTTTGATGAACTAGAGGATTAAGTGTGCTGTTTAATTCCTTTCTCCCCACCCCACCCCCAAAACCAGGCAAACGGTGGAATTTGCTTCCTGCGTTATGACGACACAAACCCTGAAAAAGAAGAGGAGAAGTATTTTACGGGCATCCTAGACATAGTGGAGTGGCTAGGTATGCGTGCTCAGGGAAAAGGAGGTGGAGGTGCTCAGGGGGGGAAAAGGCTTTATTTGCTGGATGGGCCTAAGGTTGAAATGGCAAGAAAACTGTTAAGGTGTACAGAGCCAATAGATAATGGGAATAGGAGGAGGAGTTCCAGCAGCAATAGTAGTAATGGTACTAGTAGTGTTTGTAGCAATGAGAGTAGGAACCGAAGCAGGAGACAAGGATATAATGGAAAAAGAAAGCGTCCTGAATATGTTAAAGCATTCAGCAGCTTTAAATGGGAGGCGTGTTAAGGTAATGTTGATTTAATAGTGGACCAGCTGCTGTAAAGCTGTAAACCGAAATGATGAAATTAGAATGAGTCAGCAGGGTTACTGCCACTTTAAGAAGCTATCTATATAAAGAGAGGCCCTGGGAGGGCGATTACTCTCTCTGTGTGTGCGTGCTTCTGTGTTATGGTTGAAGATTGATTGATTGCATGGCTTTGCTGTGTGTGTGTGTATGCTCTGTGTACTGTATTTTGTTCCTGGGTTGTCTCAAAATAGTAGTCACATTGTGCACACTCTGACAAAAAACCTCTTGGCTTTTCCAGAGGCTGTGGAAGGCTGCCATACTTTACACCGGAAGTAGGGAACGATGGCCCTATGCTGGCTCAGGAATTCTGGGAGTTGAAGTCCACACAAGTCATAAAAGGGCCATAGTTCCCTACCCCTGTTTTACACCAGGTTTTCGGACTTATGTGCAGTAATTGAGGGGTGGCTACTTTTGTATTGGTGGCGTTTTCATGGGAGTCTTTTTTTTGTGGGGGGGGGATAGCAATTTCTTGAAAAGCCTTGAATTTGCCTTTTCTATTATAATGTGACTGATCAAACAAGGCCTTATCACATTTTAGTATTGTTTTCCTTTAGGATACACTCCGTATGCAGTGACGCATGCCTCTGACTATTTTGATGAGTTGTATGCCTTGGCAGTGGATCTCGTTAGAAGGTGAGGAGGCCCAAGTAGCATAAAAATGCTGGAAAATTGCCCATCTAATTTGTTCATGTACTCCCCCAAAGTGTCCTTTGTTCTAATCTTCCCTTTTTTTTTTTACAGAGGGGATTATGGAAAGTCTTACTGTAATGCCTATGTCCTTCCTTACTGCCCAGATCATACTCCTTGTCTCTGTTGTTGATGTCTTTTTTTCCTCCTTCCCAGAGGCCATGCTTATGTTTGCCACCAGAAGGTGGAAGAAATCAAAGGACACAATCCACCCCCTTCTCCATGGCGAGACCGGCCGATTGAAGAGTCTCTCCTTCTTTTTGAGGTACAGTGTGTGCATCGACTAAGATGGCCTGTCCATCAAGAAAAAGCATGGGTCTCCTGCTTGAGCAGAGGGTTGAACTAGATGACTTACAAGATCCCTCCCAACCAGAGGTGGTATTCAGCAGGTTCTGACCAGTTCTGGAGAACCGGTAGCGGGACTTTTGAGTAGTTTGGAGAACCGGTAAATACCATTGCTGGCTGGCCCTGCCCCAATCTATTCTCTGCCTCCAGAGTCCCAGCTGATCGGGAGGGAATGGGTTTTTTTTCAGTAGCCTTCCCCTGTCACGCCCACCAAGCCATGCCCACAGAACTAGTAGTAAAAAAATTTGAATCCCACCACTGCTTCCAACCCTGTTATTCTAAACCCAGTGTCCTGAATGTCCAGGGCTTCTCAGAATGAGTCTTAAGACGGGTCAATATGTTTGCAGGAGTTACTTAGGGCTGGGTTATCAACTTCTTTGTTTTTCATGTTTTATCATCTCCTGTTTCTGACCGTCCTGTTTATTTATTATCTCTTTATTATTTTTTTATAAACTCAAGATAGCGAATATACTTATTCTTCTATTTTCCACACAACACCACCTCTGTTAGGTGAGTTGTGCTAAGAGGGAAGGACTGGCTGAAAATCACTCAGCAGGCTTTCAGGTCTAAGGCTAAGGCTAATGCCTAAGAACTCACAGTCTCCTAGTGATTGGCCCAAAGTCACCCTATCAACTTTCATGCCTAAGTCAGGACTAGAACTCTTGGTCTCCTGGTTTGTAGCCTGGTTCCTTAGCCACCAGGCCAAACTGGCTCTTAGTTGGGGAATCTTCGCAATTTGGAGCTACGATGTTTGAAGGAACGCTGCTTCACAACTATTTTTCACAACCATTATCCTGTACTATCTGATGAAGACTCCGAAAAAAAATGTAGAAGGGCTTTCAGAAATCAATAGCATTGTTATGTACACATGTTCTTTTCTCCTTTCTGTGATCGTATTTACTGCCCTGGTATTTTTAGTGGCCCCCTTTTTTCATGTGTCCTTCTGCCAGTCCTCTTTCCTTGTCCCAAAGTGTCATATTTTTTGAAGCAACATTTTCTAGCACTGCAATCAAATGTATCAACTTACATTCATTTTGGTTGCATGATAGTGATTCTATTCACAGTGTGGTGTATATTTTGGAAGTTGATTACACAGATCAGATCAGAGAAATTATAGTCCGTGAAGTGTCTGGAGCATTAAGTTTTGGTGGTCCTCAGAATCTTTCGAGAATACATCACTGTCATTTGATGACAAATTATTTTATCTATCCATCCATCCATCCATCCATCCATCCATCCATCCATCCATCCATCCATCCATCCATCCATCCTACCACAGGATAACTCTGGGTGGAGCTATGATTGTACTTTTTAAAAAAAATAAAAGCTAAAATATAAAATATTTTGCCCAACCTCCTGTTTTGTGCCACCTTTTGCCACCCTCATTAGACATCTGTCTATCATAGCTTCTTCTAGAGAAGATGATTCTCTAGATCATCACGATACCGCTCTATAAGAGGTTTTCCTGTCTTGAGTGATTTGAAACTCTGGTACATGTTATGCTTCTTCAGGACATGCGCAAAGGAAAGTTTGGAGAGGGAGAGGCCACGTTGCGCATGAAGATGGTGATGGAGGATGGGAAAATGGACCCTGTTGCTTATCGCATTAAATATACACCACACCACCGCAGTGGTGACAAATGGTATGTGGGGATAGATGTCTAGTGTGGTCATTTTTGGGACTGGGATTGGATAGTGTGGAAGTTTTCTTTCTGACTAGCAAAGTGAGGTAGTTGTCCTTGTTCTCATTGGGTTGGATCTGCTCCAGTGCTTAATCTTGGGCTCCGGCTTCAGAGGTACTAAGCCTTTGGTGTTATTGCTGGAGTCTGGAATTTGCGGAACAAGTTGCCCCCTCCTCCCAATGTTTTTGGGATTCCTCTGATGGGAGCATTGCCTCCCACCACTTCCACGATAAGTACAATTTTTGCACATAAAAAATTAAGTTAAAATTGTAGAAAGGAAAGTGCTATGAAAGCATTTTAAGGATAATGCAGGTAGTCCTCAAATTACAACCACAGTTGAGCTAAACATTTACATTGTTAAGTGTTGTTAATTGGGTTTTGCCCCATTTTACAACCTTTCTTGCCACAGTTGCTAAGTGAATCACTGGAGTTGGTAAATTACAGTTGTTAAGTCAATCTGGCTTCCCCACTGACTTTGCTTATCAGAAGGCTGCAAAAGGTGATGACGTCACCCCGGGACAGTGCAACCGTCATAAGTAGGAACCAGTTGCCAAACTCCTGAATTTTGATCCCGTGACTGTGGGGATGCTTGCAAAGGTCGTAAGTGTGAAAAAAGGTCATAAGTAACTGTTGTTACTTATGTTAAATGAATGGTTGCCAGTCAAGGACTATCTGCAATGACCAACAATGCTACAGAAGTATTCCTAGGAGGATCTGATGATTGTTTTGCGGAAGCCACTGAGAGCTTTGGAAGTGAGCTTTTGGTTTTCTCTGGCTTCACAGGTGCATTTATCCTACCTATGACTATACGCATTGCCTTTGTGACTCACTGGAGAACATTACTCACTCACTCTGCACCAAAGAGTTTCAAGCCAGGTAAGACTATGCTCTTTGAAAGGGTCCCTTATCTCAAGGGTGGGAGAATCTAATTCCCTTCAAATATTGTTCATCTTCTATCAGATGGTAGCATGGCGCATGGGGAAGGACGAAAAGAGTTGTGGTCCATCAGTCACTTCTCTTCTTTCCTGCCTTTTCCTATAGCCGTGATGGTGAACCGGTGGCACGCCAAACCATATTTGCTGGCAAGGCAGTCCTCAGCTCCGGCGTGCATGTGCCCGCTGGCCAGCTGGTTTTCAACCTTCTGGAGGGCTGGGGGAGGCTGTTTTCACCCTCCCTGGGCTTCAGGAAAGCCTCCGGAGCCTAGAGAGGGTGAAAAACATGCCCAACATCCCAACTGGAAGTTTGGGAATGAACTTCTGGTTGGCCCATTGGGCTTGTTTTTTGCTCTCCCCAGGCTGCGGAAGCTTTCCTGAAGCCTAGGGAGGGTGAAAATAGCCTTCCCCAGCCCTCCGGAAGGCTGAAAATCAGCTGGCCAGCATATGCATGTGCGCTGGAGCTGAGAGCTGCCGAGGGCTGCCTTGCCAGCAAATATGGCTCTGTGTGCCACCTGTGGGAGCGCCAGGGGGTTCCACCACAAAACCGCGCTCGACGAAACCGCGTACCTGACGTCATCACAGCGCGATGAAAACAGCACGCTGTGAGCGGTAAAGCTAAAATTAACGCGTAAACCTAAACCTAACTAGTCTAGTAGTGATGAACTCATGGTTAGCATTGGGCTGGGACTGCAAGGCAGT